CAGGAGGGGTTCCGGGTACCAGTTTGTGCATGCAGCTGACATGATGCACTGCGCAGAGCACCACGTGAAAAGTAAGTGCTGGGGGGCTGTTGGGAGGGTGTTTGTGAGCACCCTCAAGGTGCCTTGCTGTACTATTGCTCCTTGGTGCTGTCTGTCCCGGGGCTGGAGTAGCTGTGATAAAGGCTCTTCCTCCTGGATGAGCTCAGGGAGCTGGCGGAGAGACAGCATCCTGCATCTCCTGCCCCCATAGCACGGCCACAAGGTGATGCTCAACCCCATGGCATCTTGCACATGTCATTTGTCTGGCTCTGCTGGGGAGCTCTGTCGGTGGCACTTCTCTTGTGTCCCTGCCTCAGTGATGAAGACGGGGGAGAGCGGGCTGACGGTGTTCCGGCTGCTGACCAAGAGGGGCAGCTGGCTGTGGGTGCAGGCCAATGCGCGGCTGGTGTACAAAGGGGACAGGCCTGACTGCATCATCGCCCGCCAGCGAGCCCTGTCGTGAGTATTGCTGGCCCCCTTTAGCTGCTCTGGGCGTGGGGGGCATGCCCGAGGCATGCAGAGGCCGTGAGGGTGGAGGAAAGGATCGGTGGGGTTGGAGCTTTGCAGCGTTTGTCCTCCTGCAGTGTGATTGAAGCGGCTCTGAGGAGGTGGTTGTGGACATGCTGCCTGGGAGCAGCAGCCCTTTCCTGAGCCATGCAGATCTCCCCGTGGGCTCCCCAGAGCCTTCTTGTAGCTGGCCCAATCCAGTCTCCTTTTCCTCTAGAAAAGCCAGGGGCAGGGCTGTGAGTTCCCCCCTTGCTGTCAGAAGGGTGGTTTTGCCTGGCCTGGAGGAACTGCTCATGCTGCTTCCATCCCCTTTTCTCTCTGCACCAAAGGAATGAAGAAGGGGAGGAACATCTCCGGAAGAGAAACGTGCAGCTGCCTTTCAGCTTTGCCACGGGGGAAGCAGTCTTGTATGGGAATGACCTTCCTGGGTTCTTGGACTCGTTCCAAACCAAGGCAGAGTTGCAGGTGCAAGCAAGCTCCAACTCAGAGCAGCACTTGGTAGACCCCAGCTCTCTCCTTGGGGCCATGTTGAAGCAGGATGCATCCATATACAATTCCAATGCTGATAATGTGCCTCAGTTCTCCCTGCCAGGCTTCATCCCTGAGCCTGATGGGCTGAGCCAGAATGAGCACGTCAGCGGTGCCAAGGAGGACAGCAACTCCCTCCTGGTGGTCATCGAAACCCTCTTTGAGAAGAGTGAGGTGGATGGAAACATCTGCCAGAGCCTCGGCGTGGACAGCACAGAGCTGCAGCAGTGGGAGGAGGCTCTGCTCAGCCTGGAGGCAGAGGAGGAGCTGCCAGCTCAGGGGCTCCAGAGGCCGGGCACCAAGGTGACATCCTGTGTGGAGCAGATGCTCCTCAGGGAGGCTGCTGGGAAGAACCTGGACTTCCCACCCTGCCATGAAGAAAACAGTGCTGTGGCTCACTTCCAGCGCTGCTGGGCAGCTGGTTCGGTGTTGCCAGCCCCAGGACAGCCCTGGGCAGCGGGCACACGGGGAGGCCAGGGGGCTGTGGGCTCTGTAGCCTCCGTTACCTCTGAGGGCAGCTCTGCCCAGCCAGAGCAGCAGGGCCCATTTAACCCAGCCGGGCCGGTGGCAGGGATGGTGCTGGGCATCCCTGTCTCTGGCAGCAAATCCTCTGCAGCACTTCAGCTGGCAAGCCAAGCATTCCAGGCAGAAGCTACCCCCTCTGCTGCTGTTGGTGGCACTGTTCCTACTGCTCAGAGCCAGCCTGGGTGCCAGCTGGTGGGCTCAAGCTGCCCACCCCCATTGCACTCAAACAAGTTGGTGACTCTGTGGCACAATGTCCCCCTCCAGGCAAACCCAGCCAGTTGCCCATGGGAGGCTTGGCTGGCCAGAGCTCCAAAACAGCTGGAAGCTGCAGGAGCACACGTGGAATCCCAAACTCTGCCAGCTGGCAGCCCTGAGAGCCCCCCGGGGGCTGGGCTGTGGTTGCCACCCCTGTCCCAGTCTGTTCCTTGCTCTGCCCAGGGCTCGAAAGAGTCCCTGTTCCGCAGGGATGGGAAGCTCTGTGATGTGGAGGCTGCTCTCCCTGCACCCTTAGGAGTCAGGCAGTTGCCAGGGCATGGCAGCTTCCCCAAACAGCCCCTGGCAGCCCATGTAGAGCCCAGCTTTTCCTGGGAAGGGGAGCAGGCAGTGCTCCAAGAGGACAAGTGGTTCTCGCAGCTGTGGCTCCCGCAGGCTGGGGCAGCTTCTCAGAGGAGCCACGGGGAAGGGCCAGTGCATCCCAGCAGGCTCCTGCTGGGCTCCAGCACAGATCCCAGTGCCCACCAGATGGACTGCGTTGTGCTGCCTGAGTGCCAGTATGGAAACAGCCTTTTTAGGCATGAGAGCAGCTTCCTGAGGGATGCTGCTAAAGTGTCCTTTCCCCAGCAGCTGGGTGCTTTGCCTCGTCCCACTGAGAACCACCTTGGAGCACCCTGCTCCTCACCGGGCTCAGTTTCGAGGTGCTCAGCAGCTCTCCCTGTGAAGGTTGCAGGAGCACCCCTGTGTGCTGGGCAGGGCCCTGGCTGCCCCTCAGTTCCCTTCCAAGCTGGGCAGCCCCCCATGCCTGTGAGATCCAGCTCAAGGTGAAGTGCAAGAGCTCTAGGAGCTGAAGGGCACCTGGCTCCTACGGAGGGTCTGCCAGGGATGCAGCCACACCATCTTTTGTGGGCAGCCTGGTTTGGAGCTCACTGTGAACCAGGAGCCCTGTCTTGGAAAGCCACCAACAGCTGTGAGCTCTTCTCATACCTGCCAGTGGTGCTCCCTGGTTTCCCAGGATTTTGTCTTCCAATGCTGTCAAGCAGTCTAGGATGAAGCGGTTTGGACTTTTTGTTCCATGTGAAGTCTTTCAGGGAGATGCAGCTGTGCCACTGGGGAGGCTTACAGGTTCTTGGGGTCCAGGAAAGGACATTGCTTGCTGGCACGTCCACGTACTTGGGGTAGCCTCTTCCAGATGGAACTGGTCCCTCACAGGCAGGTAGCACCGAATGCTGTTTCTCAACAGAACAGTGTGGTTTCCTCATCTCCTGTGTTGGATCACCCTTGTCTTGTTGCTGTTTGGTCCCCTGCATCATCTCTGCCTGCCTGAGCCTCTTTTCCTCATGTGTTCTCCATCTCCTCCAGAGACCGCCCAAATCCTTTCAGAAAGGTGTTACCAAGCACTTCAAAGAGCTCAGCAGCATTGAAGGGTCTCAGTGGGAGTGGAGGCACCTCGGGGATTTGGTCTCTCCAGCAGCTTTCCAGGGGAATTTGGGAGAGATGGGTACCAGGCCTTTGTGAAATTTCTGGGGTGGGGAAGGTGCAGCCAAGCTCCCCTTGGGTTTGTCAATGGCCTTCCTCTCCTCTGCTCCACAGTGCCATGGGACTGAGGAACAGTGAGGGTTCCCCCATGGTTCTGCCAAAGCAGTGAGAAGGAAAGGCAGGGAGGGATGCAATAACAACTCCTCTCCATGTCAGACCCACTTGGTGCTCCTCAAACCATTGTCCTGCAGCCCAGCACAACCACTTGGTTGAATTCTCTTCCTTTTCTACATATGTAACCTCAGATGTGAATGAATTGTTTTTTCCCCACCACCGAGCAAAGTCTTGCAGATCCATCAGGAAAACCCACAAAAAAAAGCAATGACTGGGGAGGGAGAGAATGATTTGAGACCACACTGGCTTGCAGTATTGGGCCAGAGAGATCAGAGTGCTTAGGGACATTCACACCTTCCCCTCATGCACCCATCACCCTGAGTATCACATCTGCCTGTACACCAGTGTTAAGCATTTAGCAAGCAAATTAAATCAGCAATTTAATTAGCACAGGACCAGCAGCAAGCCCACATGCCCTGGTGTGGAGTGGCCTCATCTCCATGGGTCTCTTCCTTCACGCCCAGCTTTGCCTCAGCTGATGAAGCCTGGGAAAGGGCAAGCTCCTGTCTGCAACCTGGCAGCACAGCAATGCTGAAATGTGCTGGACCACTGAGGTGGCTTCGAGGAGCACCTAGGATGGGGCAAGGAGTTGACTGGCTGTGATCTGGATCCAAAAAGCAGCAGAACGGACTCTGCTCACCAGCCTCTGCTGTTCTGGCACCTGTGGGAAAGTGCTGGGGCATGCCAGGGCCTCCCACTGCTGCAAGAGATGGGCCTTGGGGTGGGGGCACTGCTGCTTGGGGCCCTGCCAGACCCCCCTGTGCTCTGTCACTGGTGTCTGATCTCTCTGTACCTCTTGGCTGTGCAGATAAAGTCTGTTCTGGTGGCAGCATCTCATTTTCTGCTCCGTGATTTCTTTGTGCTGCTGGTGGCAGCCAGAAGGTGCTGAGGAGAAAAGAGCTGTCCCGGAGCCTCACCCCTGTGTTTGGCTATGTATTAAAAAAAGGCGATTTGCTTTGTGTGGTGCCGATGTTTGTTTGCCGAAACCATGTCTCTCGATTTCCTCCCTGACTGAGCAAGTGCTGGGAAAAGCCTGGTCTGGGCGCTGGGTGTGTGACACTCCTGTTGTCACTGTCCCAGCTACTGCAGGCACTCACTGCAGCGACAGTAGCACCCCCAAACTGCCCTGTGGCATTGTGGGGCTCACAGGCAAGGTTACACTCAGCACTGACACGCGTGGTTGTTAATATCCGACTATTAAAAATTATTACAGAGATGCCTCTGCTCGAAACAGAGCAAACAAGCTCGAAACAAGGTGTAAACGACACCATATGTCAACGCCAATAGTATGGATTTTTATTTAACGGTAAACATGAGGGGGAAGAGGGAAAAGAGGAGGAGGGTAGAGAAAAAGTGACAGAGAAACAGCCTACGCAGAGAAAAATACCATTACTTTGTAGATTTCCGTGATGTTCCGCTGGTGTCTCAGTGTGCTGCCGAGGTGATGACTGCAGACTACACCCGTCGAGTGGTGAAGGGAAAGAGTCCGACAAACACCACACCCATTTGGTTTATATTCTGCTGAGGCTACGTGGGAACATCCCCTGGGACGGGAAGCTTCACACCGGAGAATGTTGTGGATCACGGGACACTTGGGGACCCTTGTCACCTTCTGAGATGTTGCTCCAAGTGAGCCCAGTACCTTCAGCTTATGTGTGAATGTCCCGTACTTGGGAACGGAGCCTTCACAGCTGAGCCATTTAGTAGGGGAGGACATTGGCATGATAAAGACTTCTCCGCATAGCAGGATTTGCCTCTTATTAGCCTTTTCCCTTATCTGCAAGCCCTTCTGCAGCTGCAGGCCGCTCAGCGAACGGCTGGCAAAGCACTGCGTGGATTGTTCGAGCCCTTAGCACCCACGGTCCAGTACCTCCCCTTCGCCACCCTCACATCCCCACCCACCCGTAGCTCCCTGCTCACCGCCACCCACAGCCCTTTCACCTCCTCATTAACCCACTCCATCAGCGCCCAGATCCCTTCCCAGCTCCATCACACATCAGTCCCCTGCCGCCCTAAATCCCCGTCCATGCCCCATCGCCCCCCTCGCCGGGGGCGGGCCGTTCCCATTCCCGCTCCCGCTCCCATTCCCGCTCTCGCTGCCTCTCTCCCTGAGGGAGCGGCGCGGCCGGCCCGGTCATGTACGCGGGGCGCAGGCGGAGGAAGCCGGTGCCGCGGGTGTGAGTGAGGGCGAGAGGGCTGAGGGGCCTGGGGAAGGGCTGAGGGGGTCCTCGGTAACGTGGTTGTGACCGGCAGGACGCGGCAGGGCCCGGCCGAAGGCGGCGGCTCCAACCCGTCCAAGCGGCACCGGGAGCGGCTGAACCGGGAGCTGGAGCGGCTGGCGGGGCTGCTGCCCTTCCCGCCCGACGTGGTGGCCGGGCTGGACAAGCTGTCGGTGCTCCGCCTCAGCGCCGGCTTCCTGCGAGCCAGGAGCTTCTTGGGCGGTAAGGGATGGTCCCAGCGCTTCCCCCTGCTCGCAATCCCTGCCTGGATTTCCTGCCCCCCCCCTCCTCCCTCAGCACTGCCTCCTCCTGCGGCTGTGTCACCCCTTCCTGGGCTGTGACACCCCTCGGCAATTCCTCTCCCCCCTTCTCTCCAAAATATTTAGTGCGTTTGTTTTCCTCCACAGAGTATTTTTATATTAGTATTTTAGAGTATTTTTTATTTAGTATTTTAGAGCTTAGGATTTATAGCGGTTTGGTTTTTTTTTTCCTTCCCCATAGTACTGCGGGGGGTTCCCTCATCAAAAACTTGTCTTCTTTCCCTTCCAGAACGGTGCTTTTTTCCCCCCTGGAATTTCCCCCGCTTTCAGGAATTTCGTATCGATCCCTCCTCGGATTTTGTGGGGTTTTTTTTCACCCCCCTCGCACTTTGTGTTTCCCTCCTTGAATTTTGACGGGTTTTCCCCCACTTGACTTGTGGGATTTCCCTCTCCCCCTCGAATTTTGCTGCTTTGGTTTTTATTTTCCCCCTCGAATTTTGGGTTTAGTTTCTCCTCCCGTCCTCCCCACCTCTCCACCTCTCCCTGGATTTTGGGGCTCCCACCCTAATTTTATTTTTCCAGCTCAAATTCTGGTGTGTTTTACCCCCTCGGATTTTGTGTCTTTCCTGTCTTTATGCCACTGGAATTTTGCCGTGCTCCCCTAGAATTTTGCTTCCCCCTCCCCCCGAATATTTTGTTCTTCACCTGACCTAAAATTTCATCTTTTTACCCCTCAGAATTCTGGTTTCTTTCCCTAGAATTGCTTTTTCCCCTTTCTAGCCCCTCTTTCCTCGCTGTGCCATCTCCGGCTGCCAGGCTGGTGCTGCGTCCGGCACTGCCGTGGGATCGGAGGGATCTGGAGGGATCTGATTCTGTTTGTGGGCTCAGCTGAAGTAGAAAATTCTGGTTTATGCGGGAGGGTGAGCCAGAGCCTTGTGCGTCCCGGCTGGGGAGTTTCTCCATGGAAGTGACTTTTTTCCTTCTGTTGCGATAGACTCACTGTGCTGGCAGTGGGCAATAATTCCCTGTGATGCGCTTAGAGCTGATGTGGGAGCCTTTTATTTCTGGGATTCTTTTAATTTTGGGAGCCATTCCACCGCACTGTAATTGTGATTACAAGGATCCCTCAGGAGGGCATCGAGGCATCCCTGGAGTTTCCTGGTGGAGTAGCAGTGGCTTGAAAACGCTGCGTTTTCAGGCCACAGAAACTCCACAATTTCACTGAATATATTCAGTGATTTCTTTTTAATTTCCCCCCCCCACCTTTTCCACTCTTTTAACCCTGCAAGTGGGTGAGTTGGGAGAGTTGTTTTCCTTGCCACACCAGGTATCAGGTGTGGCAGGGAAGGAAGACAGCTTCAGCCTTTTAGATGCAAGTAGCTTAATAAAAATTAAATAGAATCCTTAAATGGAACTCGGGTCAAGCTTATCAACAAAATAATTGATTTTAAGTGACTTTATTTATTTATTTATTTATCCACCCTGCGTGGGCGCTCCCTGAAAAAAGATTGTGGGAAAGCAAGGACAAAACGTGGGATGTGCTGCCATGGATTGTGAGGAGAAACATCTGGAGCAGGTCTCAGGTGTTGCCCACAATTGCTGACAGCAATTCACCCAGCAGGTTTATGCCAGCCCATTCCCTGCCAGAATAAATAAATCATTATTGATTTATTAATTATTAATCAATTTTAATGTTACTTCACCATCTCGGTTTACACATAGCCTTTTATTTTTACAAGGATGCTTTTTTCCTGGGGTCATGAAGATTTTTATTCTTTATATAGCCCCAAGGGAAGCTGTCCCTGCTGCCTCTCTGCCTTCAATTCAGTGACAGGAATCAGACGATTTAAGGCTGTTCAGTGTTCTGTTGTTTAATCTTTGGAGTGGTTTAGACATCATCAAGCACTGCCTTTGCAGGGTCATTTACCCAACAACAGGGTTATTACCCAAACAAACCCTTCCTCAGGCTGGTGTGCTAGGTTGGTAGCTTTCTGCAGAGGTTTAGGAGAGTGGAGGACAAGAGCATCCTGTGTGTGTTTGTGGACTGATTCCACTCAAATCTCTCCAGATTAACAAAGCAGGAAGCAGCTCGTGCCAGGTGTGTTCAGCAGCTCTGGGAGAGGAGGGATCACAGCCAAGGTCTCCTCCTGATCCATGGCAGGTAGAAGAGGCTCCCTTTGTGATGGGACAGCACTGCTGTCTTCTGTGAGATTCCCAGGTGCCTTTCCCTTTCCCCGTTGCATGATTTTGCAATCCCAAGTTCACACAAGTGTTTGCTTACCATGGAAGAGGCGAGTTTACGAGGGGAGCAGGATGATGGGAGGGATAGCAACATAGAGAGAGGTGTCCTGCCAGGGGGCAGGATATCCAGCCCATCCAACATCCATCCTGCTGGAGAAGCAGCACTGACCAGAACCCAGTACCTGCAGCAGGTAGGAAAAAAGGGAGCTGAGGTTGGCTTCCAAGCTGAGGCTCCCATCCAAACATCAGTGCCAGCTGATTTAAAGGCTTGTACCTCCTCCTTTCCCATCCAGGTCTCTTCCCCTACAACAGTCCTCTCAAATGCCTTATTTCTTATCCACCTTGGTGAGCAAATACTTCGAATTCTCATTCACTACCCTGACCTTCCTCCCTGCTTTGCTGGAGGCTCTTTCAGCTCATGGGGTTCGGTAGAGGTGGGACTGTGCTGCAGGGCACCTCTCTGTCCCTGTGCCACTGCCCTGGGGGTGCCCAGTGTGTCACACCAGCTGTGTGTCAGCAGCTTGTCCCGGTGGTGCCTGTGGGGCTGCTCCCCTCTAATCCCTCCCTGTCATGCCCCTTGGAGCAAAGGCCCAGCAAATGCTGCTGGCTGGGGAGGAGGGGTCCCTGTCTTTTCTGCCTTCCTCACCTCCTGGAAAGGGGGAGAGAAGGAAAGACCCTCCAGGGAAAGGTTTGGTGGCTTGCTCTGTGTGAGGATTTCTTACTAAAAGAAAGATGCCTCAAGGGCACCTTGTCATGTGGGTGTCAGGTGCCATCTGTGTAGCTTGGGCCACTTACACCCCTAGTGGGAGTCAACTGGCAGATGTCACAACAGCCAAGGGTCACTTTGGAGAAGTGTCTCTTGCCGTTTGCTCCTGCAGCACACTGGGGAGGTCATCTGAGCTGTGCTTCCCATCCTACAGCAAGCCTGGCCCTTCCTGCTGTGTGTGTCGCCCCTGTTGGGCACTCACTTGACCTGGAGGGCCAGCTGGGTGTCCCCAGGATGCCCTATGCCTATCATAGGCACCTGATGTTCAGTGACCTGTGGGATTACTCTTGATACTCTCAGTCAAGTCTGGGGTTTATGAGCTGTGGGAAGAGCAGTAGGAAGAGGTCAGTCTGTGGTGCCAAGAGATGGATGTTTGAACCCCATAGCAATGGGCTAACCTTGAAGTGAGGATCCTCGGAGATGGAGATGCACCTCTGCCTGTGTTCAGCATCTTGCCTGGCTCCCTGGCATGTGTTGTGGCCATTGAAACTTTTGGTTCCAGAGGAGCTTGTCGGCTGCACAGTCTCTGGCTGTGGGTCAGAGAGTTGTTCTGGGCTCTGCATGCTTAAGGTCATGTATCCAGAACTCAAGCAGTTTTTCTCTCCCATGTATCTTCAAAAGATAACACTCTTGTGGATGTTGGGGGCTTGGAGATTTTATCAGAGTCCTCTTTAAATCGTTGGGGGCTGCTGTAGGATCAATGTGCTGCCTCGGGGCTGAGCCTCACTCTTTGAACTGTGATATGAGCCCAGGTTGTTATTGCTGGGGCTGTGGTGGCCCAAAAAGTGCCTGAGCTGCCATCAGGTCAGTCTGGAAAAGTGCTTTTAATTATATAATTATATACTATATAACTGTGCCCCTGAAACCCCTGCTTAGGGATGAGGGCTTGAGACAGGGTGCATGGGACTAACGCTGCTCATCTCTTCACTTGTGTGCCCTCCCTCCTGAGCTGTTTGTCAAGCACTGCAGAGAGCTGTAGCAGTGAAGCCTAAGGGCTGGTTTAAGAAAAACAAAGCCTGGTCGTTTGATCACTGTTGTTCTCTTTATTGACTAGGTAATGAGCTGACCTCGGAGGAGCAATTTAAAGTGGAGAATTCTTGTGGCTTTCCTTAGGTAGGCAGTTTTTCTGCTGCATGCTTTCCTTGCCAGGTGTTTTTCCCTGGCTCTCTGGAGACCAGCTGATGGAATGCTGCTGGAGCTCCCTGGGGCTCCTGAGGACTGCTTATGAGCAACTGGGCTGTTTCAGGGCTCCTGCAAAGGGGAGCAGGGTAGGAACAAACTCCAGGCTGAGGCTTTGGGCTGGGATGATCCTTCCAGATCTGGTGGAAGGTGTCCCTGTCCACAGTAGGGGAGTGGAGCCAGGTTGTGTTTAAGGCCCCTTGCAACCCAAACCATTCTGTGATGGACAGTAAAGCTCCTGAGGGAGTGTTCCAACGGTTGATGATGCTGCAGGAAGAAGGAAAATCTGGCAGGTCCTTGTGTCTTTGTCCTTATTTAAACTCCTGCGCATGCTTCTCCCTTTGAGACCCAAGTGACACAACCAAAAGCTACATGTAGTCAAGGCCTTCTTGCTTCTAAAAGTGCAGGGAGATCTTTTAAGAGGCCATCCATTATTAACCACAAGTGTTCTTGGAAAGTGGGATATCCACACCATTCAGGCAGGGATAAATAATTCATCTGTTTAATGAAATTTTTGCCAACAGGGAGCTGTGGCAGGTACGAAGTTAAGTAAAACTCTGGTATCCATTATGATTTAACAAATGGGAGGTCAGGAAGTATTTGCCAGTGGCTGGAAAATGGGCTTTGAACAGATGATGAGAACCCAAGTGATGGTTCAGCAAGGCAGGGAGAAGATGGCTCTGTGGCTTGGTCTCAGCAAATCTGTTTCCACTTCCCTCATCATTTATATGATGTTTTCTGAATTTCCAATATTTTCTCTCTTACTAGCAATGAAATGTAAAAAAAAAGCAATGGTGAGGGGTTACTTTATGTGAGGGGGGTGTAGCAAGCAGCAGAGTTGCAGGTCCCTCTGCCAGCAAGCAAGGAGAAGCTGGAGAAGTGGATGGGAAAGGGAGATCTGCAGATCCACTCGTGGGAGTAGAGACTTTACCATGAAGTAAGACCAGCTCTTCAGGGGGTTGGCACAAATGACTGAAAGAGGTGGATAAAAGGCAGTTTTGTGAAGAAGTCAATCAATCTTTCCCCCAGAATGGCTGGTACATGCTGGGGTGTTTGACAGAAAGCTTGTAGGGAGCACCATTACCAAAATCCTCCTCTCTCCCCTCTCCACGACTTGCTCAGACTAACAGTGGCCATGCAGGTGGCCCAGCCCTCTCCTGCAGCTCTTGAAGAGTCAGGAAGCAGTTTGGTTTCCTTCTCCTTCATCAACACCTGGAGCAGGTTTGGGATCGAGTTGTTTTAATTTTTCTCCTTTGCTGGTGGAAACCCTGCTCCCACCAGGAGCTTTTGCTGTGTGTAGGGAAGGGGGTTGGGAGATATCCTCTCAAAAATGTTAATTCCTGCTTGGTGGTGCAGAGATTTTCTAGGTCTGCAAAGCCCTGGCAGGTTCAGGAGTTCACTGGCAAACCTGGTAGACAGCGAGGTGTCCCTGCAGCACCATGTGAAACAGATTCCCAGGCTGGGAAGCACTTGGAGATGGAGGGAGGAAACCCAGCCCTGGTGGCCCCTCCTGCTCTCCTAGTGACAGCACGGGGCCAGGCAGCAGAGAGCTGGTGAGCACCACGTGTGAGGATGACTGCAGGGCAGGGAGCATCCTCCTCCTGTGAGGAGGCAGGCGTGGGCTGGGAGCTCGTTCCCTGAGATGGAGAGATTTTCTTAGTCTCAGCTAAAGGCTGTTTGGGGCCAAATAGCCTGCAGGTCCTGGCAGAAGCTGTTTCTTGGAAGAAATAGCAGGAAAGTTGTGCAAGCCTCACTACTTTCAGGTGACCAGCTTCACCCTCCAGCGACAAAGGTGACACCAGTGGCCTGAGGGAGGGAGCCCAGGAAAAGCCACTTCTCTCCTTTTTATTCCCATCTTTTTTTCCTGCAAGTGCCTGTCCCCCCTTAAGCAGCGAGGACAAAGGCTGCACCTGGTTTTGTGCCCTAGGTGAAGGAGAGTGCTGTGTCTGGAGCGTATCCCACCTTTCCTGGTGCCCAGCTCCAGGCAGGATACACACAGCAGGGAGGATGCCGTGGTTCCCTGGCTCATTCTGCTCCATCAGCCTGATGTGCTGTGACAGTTCTGCTGAATTGCTGACCCCAGGGGCTGCACGGGGTTATTTATGGACACACAAAGCTGGGGGACACTGGGCAGGATGCCAGCCTGGCATGGCCACAGCCAAGAGCCTGTCTTCTTTGGGGGTCCTTGGGTGACTCGGGCAGAAAAGGTGCTCTTTGGTGAAGTTGGTGGGGAAGCCTCCATGGAAATTCTGGTTTATCCCTCACACACTGGTGACTGGATCCTGTTTGGTGGCAGACATCCCCATGGAGGACAGTGGGCTGTCCTCTGCTGTTACTCTGTCTCCTCTGGGCCCACAGCCCAGATAATGATAGCAAAGCCTCTTTTTAGGCAGTGGTTGGGATCAAGAGTTCTGTCTGCAGGTGCGATACCAAACCATTAACCCAGGGCCCTGAGCAGAGGGCAGCATCTTTAGATGTTCTCCTGTGAGCCAGGTTTATTTTTATCTCTCACCTCCAGCACAGTGGGCTGGGAGCTCGCAGAGGAGATCTGGAGTCCTTTAATAATTCATAGCTCCTGCATTTTGTTCCCAGCAATCAGAAAAGGGAGTTGCTGGAAGGGCGCTGGCACAAACCTCCATCCACAGCCCAGGGCCCCACCTGGGTGCTGTGGCCTCTCTCATGCTGTTCTGCCTGCTGGCCTGGCCCTCTCCGAGGTTTTGTGCAGGCTCCAATCTGGACAGGGGATCTGGTGGGCCTTTGGGGTGGCGAAGAGTGAGGCCACAGCAGCCTGTGCGTGTTCACCCCAGCTGGCTGGGGCCTGACACACAGTGCTACAAGCATGTGCTGTAACCTCAGTCCTGGTGTCAGCCCACCCCTGGCCAGCTCCTAAAAGTAGTCTGGGCAGGCTGAGCTCGGGGAATTCCCCATAGCTCCCAGAAGCAGTGGGATTGCTGCTGTATCACGTGTTTTTCTCTCGTATTAGAACTGGGGTGGACTTTGCCTTTGGTTATGGAGCAAAGTCGATCTTTGGGATGGTCCTGTGCCTGGTGAAAGAACTTTGTCTCCAAAGCCTGACTCTGAAACAGCTGCTTTCTGTAGTATCTGAGATCCTTCAGGATGTGCTCCATGGAGATGGAGGAGCTGAGTTTCACCAGCTGCTTTGGCAAAGCACAGGGATAGCAGAGTCTGTTGCAGAGCCTGGCTTTGTTAATGTGCTGGTGGCTGTTGCCTTCTGACTCGCTGTCCAGTTGCTTCTGGAGTCCACTTGATGCTCCCATTGCCTCTGAGCCTGGCAGCCCTGCAGTCCAGGAGCTGGGAAAGGCAGATGCAAGAGAGCTCTTGCTCTGTTCTGTGTGCTGGCAGGCCACAGTGGTGCTGCAGCTGGTGTATTGCACCTTTCCTCCCAGATCCCAGTGGGAGCAACTGGTTTACCAGCAGCCAAATGCTGTCCTCTGTCCTTGTGGTGCTGGCAAGAGGCTTCCCAGCTTTCTTGTGAGCTCCTCTGTCCTCTGGATAGGCCTGTCATGCACAGACTGGTTGTCATCTTACCCTTTAATATCCACACCAAATTATCCCCAGGAATCGTTCTCTTGGGGAGTGCAGAGCAAAATTTACAGGCACATTCTTCAGTTCAGCTGAGTGACAGATTCCCCCGTGTTTGGATAGTGCATTGACCGCTGTTAGATCTCGAGTGTCTGGGTCTGGGTCCGTGTGTTTTCTGTGTTGTTTTTCTCCCACTGTGAGCTGTGGCTTGCCTTAATTTGGTTGAGTAAACCCAGTGTGTTGCTGAACTGTAATGAGACATCATTGACTGAGCTGTATCCTTCAAAATGGCTCGTTCCTGATCCTGGGATTTGCTGCAATGCCCCCTGTGTAGGGCAGACTGCTGCTGCCCTACATCTGTCATACTCATGCTGAGCATCTGTCAGGTGCTCAGGAAGGCCATGGAGTGGCCACAAGGCCAGGGCAGTGACTGTCTCCTGTGTTGGGCATTACTGGGGCCACACCTTGAATCCTCTGTTCAGTTTTGGCCCCTCACAAACAAGAAAGACATTGAGGGGCTGAAGTGTGTCCAATGAAAGGAACAGAGCTGGGGAAGGGTCTGGAGCACAAATCTGATGAGGGACAGCTGAGGGAGCTGGGAAAGGGGGTTAGCCTGAAGAGAAGGAGGCTCAGAGGGGACCTTCTTGTTCTCCACAACTTCCTGACAGGAGGGGGCTTGGCTCTGCTTCCAGGGACCAAGGGCCAGGACAAGAGGAAATGACTTCAAGTTGTGCCAGGGTGGGTTTAGTTTGGGTATTGGGAAAAATTTTGTCACAAAAGAAGTCAGGCATTAGACCAGGCTGCCCAGGGCAGTGATGGATTCACTGCCCTGGAAAGCATTCAGAAGACCTGTGGATGTAGCAACTGGGGACATGGTTTGGTGGTGGTCTTGGCAGTGCTGGGGAATGGTTGAGCTCTATGATCTTGGTGGTCTTCTTCAACTTTAAGGATTCCATAATTCAATGATTCTGATGCCTACCTGCTTTAAGGATCCCTGGCTTTAACTGCTTCTTTCATGTTATTGAAAGTGGGGCAAAAGAAGTGGGGAAAAAAACCACTAGACTGAAACAGCTGAGGGTGTTTGAGGGGTGGGGAAACATCCCCTTAAAATCAGCTCTGGTGAGGGGCGAAGCAAAAGGCTGTGACTGCGTGGTGGCTTCCCCTGCGCTACTGTCCAGCTTTACAGCACTCCAGCTTTTGTGGCACTGTGTTGCTGCAGCACTGGTGTCCCTTCCTTTTCCTTGGTGCAGTTGCTCTGAAGAATCCTGGTGCCAAAGAAGCCCAGACGGACGCAGCCTGTGGCATTGGACCGGCTCCAGGCTCAGCAGCGGTTCCAGAGGGTGAGCTGCTCCTACAGGTTAGTGCTCCGCACAAATGCCTTCATGGGATCTTCCTCTTGTCCCTCTTCCATCTCCTTTGAGTTTTACCCCAAAACCAGGCTGTTCTTTCCCTGATGGCGGGTGATTTGTGATTTCTTGTGGTGTAGCTCACTGTGTTTCTCACTGGGCAAAGATTTGAGACCTCCAAAATTCCCTGGGGCAGATATTGTGTTGCTTCTTCCCTGCTTTTCCCATTATTCCTGGAAAAAAATGCCATCTGTAAATAGTCTATATGTAGGGAACATCTTGCTGGATTACCAGTCATGGAGATTGATCTTTTCTTCTTCTCCACCCACATGTGTAAATGTGCCAGAGGTGAAATGAACCAAACTGAGCAAAGTGTTTGAGTTTTCATCATGGGCACACTGATCCTGACTGGAGGATATTGGTCAAATGCTGGTGAAAACAGGGAAGAAAACATTGTGGGTGTCTCCCCTGATTTTGAGGAGGTGATGTGTGACACTGAGGACACAGCTAGGTGCTGATGGGCCATGTGCTCATCCCTTAAACACAGGGTAGGTGGTTGTATCCCAGGAGCTGTTTTTCCCAAGTGATCTCCTTTGGTGATGCTGGAGACGAGGCTGGTGATGCTGCAGCTGTCATGGTTTGTTTAGAGCTGCCAGGAGGGTACCTTCTGTCCCCAAACTGTGCGCAGTGAATGGGAATAGGTCAGGCTCTGGCAGCACGAGGTCCTACAAGGACACATCTGCCATCTCCTGCCTGGCACCCGGGCACAGGCGGTGGCACTGTCCCCTGCCTGCTTGGCACCCGGGCACAGGCTGTGGCACTGTCCCCTGCCTGCCTGGCTGTCCTCCAGAATGGGCTGAGTGTGCTGGGCAGCCCCAGCTCCTGTCTGAGCGCTCACTCAGCACAACATGTAATTACTGTCCTGCCTGAGAGCTGAGGATCTCTGTGTCTGGTGGGAGAGGCACTAAAGCCAGCCTAGTTAATAAGCAGAAGCCTGCGGGTTTCCCCTCAGGATACAAGAGAACTGCTCAGCAGGACTTGCTGGGGGTTGAAGTCTTGCTCATCAGCTCCTCCCACAGGTACCATCCTTTTAGGGGTACCAAACTGGGCCTGAAAAGCTGGTTCAGCTCTCTCAGGGTCTGTGTGAGCCCGGATGTGGCAGGAGCTCAGAAGTCTGTCTCAGTCCCCCAAGGAAACATTCCTCCATACTTATAAACATACTTCCACCTGGTCTGTCACCTCTGATAGGCAAACTTCCTTTGTCTCTTGGTCTGCTCTGGTTCTTCCCCTTTCCTTCTCTGAAGCTGCTCAAAGGGTTAAAGTGCATTTGGCTGCACTAATTAACCTCTGCAGCAGATTCCCACACACTGAGATCAACCCCAGTAAATAGAGAGAGTGTTTGTGCCCGAAATAAAGGGGAGGAGAGGGGGGAGAAACTCTGACCTGGACAATGAAACAGGAGTTGGCAGCAACAATAGCTGGGCTTGGCTGAGACTACATGCCAGGCCCTAATTAATGCTGATGTCTGTACATTATGAAGGGGGGGAAGCAGGCCAGGGCCGGCCACTGTGGCTTCCCTGCCAGGTTAGTGGTACAGGATGATTTTGGCTCTGAAAAGCCACAACTGCAGGAGCCCTGCCTTCCAAAGTGGTTCTGCTTTGTGCTGCCAGAGTGTCCCCATGGGGATCTGTTGTCCTTAGGGAGGGGTGGCCATGTGGTGGTGCCAGGGCAGTGAGAGCTCTTCAGCTTCTGGGAAAATAAACCAATGATTTTCATGGGGTTTCACTGCCTTTGCTCTTGGGCAGCACCATGGGCTTGAAGGTGTCTGCTGGGTGATTCTGGGGATTCTCAGAGCTGAGGACACTGAGCCAGAGAGTGGTATCTGCCAGCTGGGCTCAGGGAGTACTGCTGTGGGGCTGCTCTCAGCCCTGGCAGGGGGGTGACAAGGTCTCCAAAGCCCTGGGCTCTGTGCCACAGAGGCTTGCAAGGGTTGGTGCTGTGCCTGCAGCACTTGAGGGTGCTTCCCTGATCCTGCCAGTGCCTGTGTCAGCAATGTTCTGCCTGGGGGCTCCTTCCTGCTGCTGGAGAGCAGGGATGGAGAGCCAGGGCTCCTGGAAAGGAGCTGCATTCCCAAACTGCTAGGGAAGCTCCTCTTCTCCTTCTAGTCTTCTCCAGGTGTAAAGGACACTGTCAGCCAGCACCCTGGTCCCTTCTCATGTGTCCTGTCCTGGCAGCTGTGGGGTTTTTAGCTCAGGGAAAACAACCAAATTACTTCCCAGATTTTTTAAACTGAGTCCCTCTTCAGTAAGACAGAGGCTCAGATCAGCTCAGCCTGTTCCTGCCAGGAAGCCGAGTGCTCCCTTGAATATTGACTTTGCAATCCTGGAGCTTGAGGAGAGGATGGAAGGGCCAGCAAACTGTGAAATGTCTTAAGTGTGTAACATTAAAAATGCAATGGAAACTTCAGATTGATGGCTGCATTTGCTCTTCTCTGTGGGGAGGGCTTGGGGCTTCAAACCCACACAGGCACAGCAGCTTTGGGTATTTATTTTGTGAAAACAGAGTACAGCATTCAGCCCTAAGGGGTGTGGGGTGTGCATGAGCCAGGTAACGTTCCAGAGGAAGTGATCTTGGAGGTGGAGATCTTAGAGGGATTCTCCAGCCTAAATAATTCTGGGATGTATTGGCTGAAAGGAAAAGGTGCTAGGGTCACCCAAGGATTCTGTGGTTTTCCCTCAAGTTCAGGCACCAGACTCAGCCTGAATCCCCTGCTGAGAAGAAATTGGCTTTTCAGAAATCAGATTGTTTTTGCTGCAATTTTGAATCTGAACCCTTATGCTTTAGCTTGTGGCTTTTCCATTTCCACTGGTTAAGGCCCTTTCAGCACTGGCCACCTTGAGGAGGGAGCGGGCAGTGGAGACATCACCTTCCTTGGCTTTGCTCCTTATCCATGGACAGTCCAAGCACACCATCCATGATCCTTCTCCAGATCACTTCTCTGGAACTTAGGATGGCCAAACACAGCTGCCAAGGCCCTCGAGACTGTTGGAAAGGCTCATTTCCACCAGAATGGACCAGTTCCTGATGGTGTCCACTTTCATCCTGCAAGTAGTTCAGAGATGTTTATCTGCTCCCTGCACAGGCTGAGGATAAATGCTTGAAGCTAAGTCTGAGTGAATGCTTCCAGGATGGAAGCACAGTTTTCCATCGGTCTGGATTAGGATATTTTTGGGGCAGGAATATGAAAGAGCTGTGGGACCTTGGAGAGGCCATCTCTGGTGATTCAGCTGCCTGCTAGCCAGGCTTTGGGTGACCAGTGTCCTGGTCACTGTGAAAAGTGATGTGATTGTGGCCTGATCTCCTCTCTCCTACAGGCTCTCAATGGCTTCGTGCTGGTGGTGACAGCAGAAGGGCTGATATTTTACTCCTCACATACAATCCAGGACTACCTGGGATTTCATCAGGTTGGTGGGACTCTGACTTGCTGTGGAGCATTGATTTTTCCTTGGTGGTGGAGAATAGCCCCAAGTTCCCTGCAGGGAGGAGGCTCCACAGGGATCACAGGGTCTCAGGGAGCTGTTGGGGCTTTTCCTTGGTCTTGGGAATTTGGAGCCTGTATTGCCAGACGTGGTCACTGGTAGGTGACAAGGGACTTCATCAGCCCATAGGCACATTCTAACCCATTCTACCAGCCATGTCCATGGGCTTTCATAGGGTTCATGGCCGCGGTGAGATGTCCTGGGTTCCCTGCCTGTTTGCCTGGGGCATCCACTCAAATCCTGGTAAATCCCACAAGGTTCCAACACTTTGGGCACCCAGGTAACCTGGAGAGCACTAGATTTACAGGGAAATGGGGCTTACTTCAGCTACTGTGGTTTGGTGTCACCCACACACAGCTGGCTGTCCCCAGCAGCTGGGGTAGATGAGACCTGTCCACCTGGACACTGGGAGAAAGTCCCAGGGCATTGTTCTCATGGGAATAGTCTAGGGATGGGGTGGCCTTGCTGCTGTTTTGTTCCCAAATTCATGTTTTCATCTCATTTCATAAGTCAGCACTAGGATTTTGAATTATGGGGATGTCAGAGGGAAGCTGTGTTTGCTCTTTAGGCTTCTGCAGGGGGAGAAAGTCAGGCCAAACATGGGCAAGGGGTTCTTAAAGCCAGATGTGCTGTCTGTTTCCGCCAACATTAGGGAAAGTTTCCAACCTCATTTAACCAGGGACCCATTTGAGCACCAGGGAAGCTGGGTAAGATAAAACCAGCTGGGGCTGTGATGGGCTGTTCCCAGGTGGGATATGAAAACTGGCACTGGGGATGCAGAGCTCACAGGTGGTGTGTCCCCTCTAGACAGATGTCATGCACCAGAGCGTCTTCGAGCTGATCCACACTGAGGACCAGCCGGAGTTCAGGCGCAACCTCCACTGGTCTGTGGACCCACCACTCACTCCCAAGGGTGAGGCTCCTCCAGCAGGTGAAGGCGGGCTGCCATCTTGCATGGCACGAGCTGTGTGGCTCCCCAGGGGTGACCACCTGCACCCATGTGGCTCAGGCCACAGCTTCACCCAGATGTTGTGGCTTTCCCTGAGTTCCTGTGCTCTGCAAACTGCTGCAGTGCCCAGTGCTGGGGACCTCCAGCCCTCGCTGGGGTGAATCCTTGCTTGATCCTTTCTCAGTCCCTCTCTTCCACAGCGGGGAAGAGTCTTGACTCTTCTGCTGCCATCTACAAGCCAGATCAGCTGCCCCCAGAAAACTCTTCCTTCCTGGAGAGGAGCTTTGTGTGCCGCTTTCGCTGCCTCCTGGATAATTCCTCCGGCTTCCTGGTGAGTACAGACCCTCCCCAGCCAGAGAGAGGCAGGCTTACCACAGAGGTTCATACCACCTCTGAAACCACCCCATGGAAAGAGCCCGTGCTCCCTTCTGCCATGCGCAGCACCTGTCTCAGCAAGAGACTTGCCCTGTTTTTCCTAGGTTTGGCCTGTACCTACAGCCTTTCCCTGTGAGTTTTCCCTGAGTTCCTCAGAAATGCTGAATCTTGAACAAACGTGCTTTTCCCCCTGTGTTTTGCTTGGTTTTTCTGTTAAAAGCATGTCCTAAGATCAAGTAGGTGATGGTCATCATCCCTCTTCCTCTCTGCACTGGAGAGCACAGGGTGCCCAGAGCAGCTGGGGCTGCCCCTGGATCCCTGGAAGTGCCCAAGGCCAGGCTGGACATTGGAGCTTGGAGCAGTCTGGGACAGTGGAAGGTGTCCCTGCCCGTGGCAGAGGGATTGGAATGAGATGGTCCTTAAGGTCATTCCAAACCTAAACCATGCTGTGTTGCGATGATTCTATTTACACCAACAATGCAGACAGATGTCTTGCTTTCCCTGCAGCTCTCTTCCTTCTCACTTCTCTGCATGGCACTGAGATTTTTTTTTCTTCCCAGGCATTAAACCTTCAAGGCAGGCTGAAATTCCTTCAAGGGCAGAACAAAAGGTCTGAAGATGGCTCTGCCCTGGCCCCCCAGCTCGCTCTGTTCGCCATCTCCACACCCCTGCAGCCCCCATCCATCCTGCAGATCAGAACCAAGAACATGATCTTCAGGACCAAGCACAAGTTGGACTTCACCCCCTTGGCGTGTGATGCCAAGTAAGTAGCAGAGCTTCCAGTGTTCCATTCCCAACATCCCAGCCCAGCCCTGCCTGTGAGCTGGGTGTGCTCTGTGTCTCTCACAGGGGGAAGATCGTCCTGGGCTACACCGAGGCAGAGCTGCGGATGTGTGGTACCGGGTACCAGTTTGTCCACGCTGCTGACACGCTGTACTGTGCTGAGAACCACGTCAGGAGTAAGAGTCCCCTCCCTGGTCACCAGTGCTGATGAGTGGGCTGGGAGTGGGGCAGATATGTTGGCTGCTCTGTCAAGCCCAGTGGCTCTTTCCCCACACGATGCTTTGCTGTGCTGCTCCTGTCAGGTGCTTGGGGTGGAGCATAGTGAGGGTTGTTCAGCTGCTCAGTGTCTCCTGTGCCTGCCAGCCATGCTTCCAGCTGGAAAGGGCAGTGTGCCATGGTGACAGCCCTCATGTTTCCTCCCGGCAGTGATGAAGACGGGGGAGAGTGGCCTGACAGTGTTCCGGCTGCTGACCAAGGACAACCGCTGGAAGTGGGTGCAGGCCAACGCACAGCTTGTCTACAAGAACGGCAAACCCGAATACATTGTGGTCACACAGAGACCCCTTGTGTATGTGCTGGGGCTGGCATGGGCACAGCCTGGCTTTTTCCATCGTTCTGGGATGTCCTGAGCAGGGCAGGATGTTGGGTTTGTCATTGCTGCTTGTGCCTTTTAAAGGAGTAGCTGTGGGATTCTGTGCTTGCTGCTCTTGCTGCTGTTCAGCCACATCCCTGCTTGCAAGACCACCCCTCAGCAGGGGGGTGATGCTTGATTATGCTGCAGATGTTTGGGTTTTCTGTGTGTGTATTTGTGTGACTGGATGCTGGCTGTAGCAAAGGGGCTTTGGCTTGTGGAGATCACAGTTGCCCATTGCAGAAGTACTTGTGGGGTGGGTTTATGCACTGTCACTCACAGTGCTCTCTTCCTGGCCTGCAGAGATGAAGAAGGAGGAGAGCACCTTCAGAAGCGGTCCATACATCTTCCCTTTACCTTTGCTACAGGAGAGGCACTTCTATACCAAAGCTCTCACCCTCTCCCAGGCTTCCCTGACCTTTTCCAAAGCAAAGGGAAGCCCAGCAAGTCCAAGAAGCCCTCCTGCAGCCATGTAGGGCGCTCCCAGAAGAACAGCATTGACCCCAGGTCTCTACTTGGCGCCGTGGTGCGACAGGACAAGGTGGTGTACGCCTCCCACCTAGCTTCCCCTCCCAACCCTTCCTTCAGCAGCACTCTCCAGCTTGGGGGCGAGTCCTTGCCAGGAGCAGGAGGGGATGCATGGAGTATGGCCACAGCTCCAGTTTCTTCAAGGGGCAGCAGCCTCCAAGAGAAGCTGCTGGATTTGCAGCAGGAGGACTCTCTCTTGGCCACCATGGACTTGCTCTCAATTAAGAGTGACAAGCGCTGTTCAGACAAGCTCTTCAGTGATTTGGAGGGCCTGGGCTTGCATGCTGAGGACCTGGAGCTCCTGCTGCTAGATGAGAAAATGGTGATGGTCAGTATGGACCCAGACCAGTCCCTGTCCCTGAACAACAGCCTGGCCGGCAACCAGAATCTCTCCTACGTCCCCAGGCCTCTGGTGGATGAGCATGAGGGAGGGCAGCAGGTCTGTCCCTTGCCAGGCATGTCCCCCGGCCCACAGGGAGGCACTGCTACATGCTACATGGAGAACAAGGACTCGAGGTGGCACCTGGCACAGGGTGCAGGGCAGCACAGCACTGCCCTGAGCAAGCCCCCTGGCCCGCTGTGGGAGCAGCCCCTCGGTGCTGTGAAAGGGCTGCTCCCAGAGCTGGCTGAGCAGGAAGAGCTGCCCAGTGGCTCCCAGTGGAGACCAGCCAGGGAGGAGACTGTGCTCCACTTCCAGCCAGCACAGAGCACCTCATGGGACAGGGCCCCCAGCTCAGCCCCTGGAGCCCACTGCCCACAGGAAATGCCTGGGGCCCAGCAGTTGCAAGGAGACTTCCCAGCCATGCAGCCCCTCCAAGAGGATGCCCATCAGTCTTTCCCCCTGTCCAGCCAGTACCAGGACCATGTGGCACTGCCCAGCTGGCCAAAACACCGTCACTTGCTGCTGAATGGGGTATGTGGCCACAGCCCTAACTCCTCTCCACTCCCCAGCCCATGGCAGGACTACGTTTGCCCGCTGCTGGGCTCTCCAGCTCAGCCTGGCGTTCATGGCCTCAGCCAAAACGTGCACTCCCAGCCCCAGGGCTGTTTGGGCCCTGGGCCTGGTGTACCCCCACAGCACTTGGACCTGAATGGATTATGCACCCTGGAAGGTGCCGGCACTGGAGACTCCTGGGAAGAGTTAGCTCCATACCCCAGGTTTTTTCCCCCTTCCTACCAGCTTATTTCCGAAAAGCAGCTGAGCCCTGGTCTCTCCGTGCCTCAACACCCTTTCCCCAGCTCAGCTGCAGGGCACTTAGGGAGCGTCAGCAGCCCTCTGGAGACTCTGAATTCCTGTAGGACACAAGCCCCTGTGCTGAGCCAGGAGGACAGGCACTGGGTAAGGTCCTTGCTCCACTCTGGGGCTCTGTGTTTTCTGTGCTGGGAGTCTGCCCAGCCAGTGCTAATAACCCCCTGCAAAGTGCCTCACCACTGTTCTCTGTCTCTCCTAGCCCCGCAGCAGCTGTGGTTTGCCCAGCTCTCCCATGGGACTGCCCCAAGACCACCCAGTGCTAGGGGGAAGCCTGGCACTGCCCTGCCAGCCTCAGTCCCAAGCAGAAGTGCTGCCGGATCCCACTCACGCCTCCAGGGGGGACTTCTGTCTCTAGGAGAGATGGACAAAGTAGGACTGTTCCCTGGTGAAGGAGCTGCCTTCAAGCTGCAGATAACAAACCTTCCCCACTGCTGTGCACATCCTGCGGGTGCTACTGATGTTGGTTGCTTTGGGTCACCTGGGGGTTTTTGCTCTTCTCTCAACTTCCCACCATCCTGCTCCCTGTGCTGTTCTTGTCTTGGTGTCTGTGGTGTGGGGTGGGACAGCAGCAGGGCTGGAGGACAGATTTCCCAGGGCACTGGAGCAACCTGAGCTGTGATTGCAGGTCAGCCTACAAGTACAACCAAAACTTTGTATTTACATACATGATCCAGCATGGATACCAGCCTCGCATGTCCTAAAAAAAGAGACAGAAAATGTTTTCACCTCTGGTATTAAATCTCCTGCCATCCCAGCCAGGTATCAGTGGCTGTGGCCATGTTGTACAGATACTGCCTGTTTTTATAAGGAAAATCAGCCCTGTATCATGTTCTTGTGTTGCTCTGCTCCTTCCCCACCTCAGCTTTCCCTGTGTCCCAGGTGTTCCCAGTGTTTGGGATCCAGGTTAGAGCTCCTGTAACAAACACCCTGGCTTTTGTGTACTGTACAAGACATGCCCAGGTTGGCTCCTAAGCTGATTTTCTCTGGGTGCTGGCCTCTCAGGTACCCTCAGACTTCAAGTCTCAAAGTTTTCAGTTAAAAACCAGAAACTTCAGTAAGATAAAGTAAGTATAATGCTGCTTAATTGTAAGTACTGAGAGAGTGGTATCTTCCCACAGAAAAAAAACCCACAGCCCATATGTGTGTATATAATATGAATTGACAGATTTTATTTTTATGCCACTCCAGTGGAAGGAAAAAACAACCTCTTAGCATCCCAAAGCAGCGTCCAGTGGAATGGGATGAAGAGGTTGTTTAAAAGATCAGAAACACAGTGATTCTTTAAGAAACCTGGCAAAGCTTATCTCTCCTCCTGCTTGCCCAGCTTTGGATTCATACGGATTCTTACTGGTTTTGTTTCAATAAATGGTTTTGGAGATCTTCCCTGATGTTTCCCTTGCTGGTTGTGTCTCTTCCCAATCTGGAGCACATCAGGGTTTGCTGGCTGCAGCACTGGAGCTCAGGCCTTGCCACTGGTTACCTGGGACACGATGGGTCAGGTTGGAAGGGATCCCAAGGAGCACTTGGAGCCTTTAGGATGCACACAGTCCATCTGCCAGCTCCTGCCAGGAGTGTTTGAAAAGAATTGGGAAATCTGACAGAGAAGGGTGAGTGTATTAAAAAAACATGTACAATATTTATATAATATATATTATATGTATATAAAGTTGCATGTTGATGTACTGAAATATAAAGTGTGTGTATTTCTGAAGTGTCTATATATAGTTTCTAGTATGTAATAGAAAACATTTTTTAAGATAAATGAGCTGATTATTTTCCCTTGCACTGCTGTTTTTTGACCTGGAAACTAGAGAAAACACAGGTCTGTTTTCTCTGAATGATGAATTTTCCAACATTCCCACCCCTACCTGGTACCTGCTTTTCCTTAGCAAAACAAGGCAGTTTTGTAATGTTTCTGAATTTTTGATGGAGATACGCTGGGAGCATTTGATCTTTTATGGTTTCTGTGCCCTACTCTGCCTCTTCCTCCCTTTTCCTTCAGAGGAATTGGCTCTGGGCAGCACCACCTGCGCTGAGGGGGACAGAGGGATGGCACCAGAGCATCCCTGGGGCTGCCAGCTCGGTGACTCCCAACTGAGTCCAAGGTGCTGAGCACAACCTGACCACTGCCACACTTTCTCCTTGAGCCAGGTCCTGGATGTGTGGTGGTGTTCCATGACCAAATGCCCCAATGGGTTTTTCCTCTTCCTTGCCACATGTCTCCACAGCACTACGAGCTTCCCTGCAGCCCAGATGACCTCAGGAACACTGCAACCCTGCTGGGTGTGTCACCAGGGTTCTGTTTTAGTGAGCACAGCATGGATTTGTACAGCACTCTGTCTGTGAGGCCTGTGGAGCACAAGCCATCGTTTCTGTGGAGGGAGGTGCCCTCTGCTCCCAAAGCAGGCTGGCACATCCATAATTCATGCCCATCCTCACACCAGCTGCTCCCTAGGCCTCATGGCATTGATTTTTGACATGCTGGGCTGGCCCAGGGAGCCTGGCTGGAGAAAAAACTTCCTGCTGCAGTAAGGGAGATGCTTCTGTTCATCGCCCCAGCATCTGCAGCCTGCTCTGAGCTGTGGTGGTAAGAAAGGGAAGTTGGGCAGCTGTGCTGTTGTGCTCTGGTTTGCACATCTGGAGGTAGCACAGTCCCAAGGGGCACATTGATCCCCAAGAGCTGGATGAGGCCAAGGGAAGAGTGTAGGGAGATACAGAATCATAAAATATCCTGAGTTGGAAGGATCACTTGAAGTCCTGGCCCTGTGAAGGACAGCTCCAAGAATCCTACAGTGTGCTTGGGTTTGGGGAGGTTTGTGTGGCTGTAGGTTCAGCTCCATGCAGGAAAGAGCAGGAGGAGCTGTAGTGCTCCTTGCAGCAGGGTAAGATGCACCAATGGAGGGGCAGGAGGAGGAGAGCAGAGGGCATTTATTGTTTGTCTCTTTTCCCTTTCCCTTCCTGCAGCCAGGATGAGGATATGTGAGACATAGCCTGCAGCAAAAGGGGGCTCCTGTCTCAAACCAGCTGGGAAAGGTTACATCTGATACCGGCTGCATCCATGAGGCTGAAAGCACCGGTCCCCAGCTGCCATCACGGAGGCCAGGATGTATCCCTGGGCCCCAGGGTAGCAGAGAGCAAGGTAAATATTTCTCTACAAGCTCAGCCTGGTGTTTGCCCACGCCACCTCCGTGCACCATCCATTATAGATGGGGCCAGGATCCGTGGGCAGCAGAGCAGAATGTGCTGTGATGGCTCCTGCATTAAATAGAGATGAAGGAGCACATGGGGAGCCACTGTTTGTTCACACCCAGCCCGTGTCCTGTTTGCTGGCTGTTGCTCAGTGCCAGAGCCATGCTGAGCTCCTGCTCTGGGCCACAGGAGAGCCATGGACTGGTGCTGCAGCCTGGCTGGGGATACCTGTGACAGCAAGCATAGAGTTAACCAGTGTGTTCCTGGAGTAACAGCTGAGACACGCTCCACCTTGGTTTACATAATTTAAAAAAAAAATAATTATTTGGACAAACAATAAAGTCTCTTAATAGGGGGCCACATCAAAACATTGCTATAGGAACTCCTACTGCAGAGTTGAGTGGCCAGTCATCTACACAACCTTCTGTGCCCATGATTTCAAGTACAATAGACTTCAGACAGCAGCCACCTGGCCACAGAAATATATTAGTGTATCTTTCCAATAGGTCCAAAGACTTTCCAAGCCTGGCTGGAAGGATATAAAGAATGATGGAGCACATCAACTGTCATCCTGGGGTGAAGGACCAGCACATGGCCAGCAGGTGCTTTGGAATAATGGCAGTGGTGGTGGTGGTGTTACCGTCATCATCATCATCAGATATTGGCATCATTGTTATTTTCTGGACCTAGGAGAGTTTGATATGAATGGGCCACAACTTTCTGTATTGTTTGATAAATGTGTGTGCCTCAAAAAATAATCTCAAATCTAATGGGAAATTCCAAACTGGAGGATGGTTTAGGTTGGAACCTTAAGGCTCATCCTGTTCCATTCTCTGCCATGGCAGGGATACTTCCCACTATCCCAGGCTGCTCCAAGCCCCATCCAGCCTTGGCCTTGGACACTTCCAGGGGCAGCCACAGCTTCTCTGGGCAACCTGTGCTAGGGCCTCACCACCCTCAGAGGAACAATTACTTCCCAATATCCCACCTATCCCTGCCCTCTGGCAGTGGGAAGCTATTCCCCCTTGTCCTATGACTCCAAGCCCTTGTGCAAAATCCCTCTCCAGCTCTCTTGGAACCCTTTTAGGCACTGGAAGGCTCTAAAAGAAATGTTTTTATCTCTCATTTAGTTATTTTACCCTGATATTTACTTCAGTTTCCTTGATGGGTTTAGAAAGGTTTATATTTTATATTCCTTACCTTCTGCTGACATGGGGGCTATTGCCCTGCAGCTGTGAGGACTCCTGCCCTTGCTAACAGATGTACCATTGTTACTACATTGCTGATGTCTCCCAGATGCCTTTCCACTGAGCAGAGGAGTGTTCCCAGGCTGTTTGGTGTCATGGTGTCCCAACTCTGCTTTAAATTTCACCATCCTTCCCAGTCCTTAATTCCCCTTTTCCTGGCCAGCTGTGGCTGCTAAACCCTCAAGTGCGTCCAGGAAGATTTCCAAGCTGAACAGGTGGATCAAGTGTCTCATCTACCTTGTACAGTGCTCTGTACTGGTGCTGGGTTCCAGCCCCAGCTGCTGCAGACATCTCTGGTGGGTTTGGCTCTCCAGAGGAGGAAATGTGTTTCTCAAGCTTGTCCAAGAACAGTTTGCACCTCTGAGCTTGCTGCCTCCTCACAGGACGTTTCATGCCAGAAATCCCCTTGCCTAGAGTCTGAAGTATCTTCAGTATTAAAAATCCCAGCCCAGGCTGATGGTGGCCTGGCCACACAAGAGGAAGGGAGCTCTTGAGGGAGAAGAAAACCCATTTGCACCTTGGCCCTCTGCACTGCCAATAACTGGGATTACTCTGCAGAGAGAAGAGCCTGGCAGGGAAGGATCAGGGAAGCAATAGGAGTTCTGCACTCAAAGTGGAGGAGCTCAAAGGTGGATTGAGCTGTGCATTCGCCTCAGGGGCAGAAGGGACAGCAAACCTGTGTGGCTAGTGCTGTGCCAAGCAGCCTGGGAAGGTCCTGGCTTTTGCTCAGATCCTGTTCCCTTCTTGTGGGGTGAATGGGGAGAGTTACTTGAGCTAATTTATGGAGCATAACAAGACACAGGGGCTTATGACTCTCCTGAGGTGCTCTCCAGATTGCAGTTGATCCTGTGTGGCTCAATTAATCCCACAGAGATAAATTTCATTTTCCCAGAGTGCCTTTGCCTTGGGACAGAAGCCTGTGCTTCTCCTCTCCCACCTCTAGGAAAAAAGCTGGACTTAGGGGTTTGACCCTGGGGTTTACAGACTTGAGCCTGAAGTACTTGCCTGCAGCTTATTTTGGAGTTGTTTTCCTGAGGTGTCTGTATGCCTGTCAGCCTCTGGCTCAGGGTTTTTTCCCAGCGCAGGCAGGAAAGGAGCACTCCTGGGAGCATGGTGGGGTATGGATGGTGCAGTGGGACTGGGCAGCCCAGCATGGAGAGGGGCCTTTGGGGGCTGCCTGCAGAGCAGCTCCTGTGAGACAGGAGAAGCTCAGCCTTTTCTTTCCACTCAGCAGGACTGAAGCTCCTGCAGCAAAGAAGGCTTTGAAGAAACATGGAAGGGAGGCCAGGCAAGGCTGTGGCAAGCTGGGAGAGGAACAGGCCAAGCATCATCTATGCTGGCTGAGCTCCCGTGGAGGTAATCTCATAGTTATTTTAGTCTCCAGCTGGGATGCAGCTCTAATCCCAGTTTTTGCAATATCCTGCCAAGCCCAGGCTCCAAATCTACCCTTGCTGGCTCTGAGCAAGGCAGGACTCCGTGGTGAGAACCTGCCAGCATCAATTGAGGGGAAAGACCCTGCTCAACTTCTAGCAGCCTTTTTTAGAGCCTTGCTGCCCATTTTGGGGCTCCTGGGGAAGAGGCTCTGGGCCTTGGGCTTGGTTGTTGGGTTTGGGGGTTATCTCCCCCCTCCATAATACGCAGATTTAAAGACTAAACTGGAGCATTTGGATCCATGCCTCCTTATGCTGAGGAGTTCCTTGCTCCCTGAAACCATCCCAAAGAAACATGGGAGCTCTCTCTCCTGGGAGATGCTTGGTTTGGGTCTGTGTCCTGGAAATACATGAGTAGGCCGCAGAGAAGCTCAAATCTGAGCTCCTCCCTGTTCATCAGCAGGGCTGTCTGCTCCTCCAGCAGTATTTCTGTACTGTACTTGGGTCTGGAATAACTTAGAAGGATCATATCTCCTGGACACACTGGCTAATTGCTCTGGATGGCTTCAACCTCCTTGATAACCTCAGCAAGGCTGAGTTGAATCAGCTGCAGCTGCTTCTGGTCTTCATACCTACAAGGATTTAAATCCTTGCCCAGTTTCAGCTAGGCAGTGCTTTGCTGTGGCAGGTTCTGGGAGCCGGATCAATAGATGTTCTTTGGAATCTGGTTTGCATCTTTGTTTTCAGGATGGAAAAGGAAAACCCAGCTGATTTGGGGGAAGAAGGAGGATGGAAAGGCCTCTGCTTAAAGCGAGCTTTGCTTTCCTAGCCAGGTTGTTTTAGAAAGGCTCCACATGCCTTGATTAAGTGTGGCTCCAGGGGCCATTGTGGAGAGTGAGTACTGTAAAAAGGCAGATTTCTGGGAAAGCCTTATGCACTGTGACAATTTAAAGTACCCCCGAAGGGCATGTGCTCAGGCAGAAACACACTTTATTTGGAGCACATTATGAATGAGACAGGGGAACAATTTGTTTGCTGGAGATGGGCAGATGATCAATTAAGCAAAGGAGATGGGCACAGAGCAAGTCAATTTGCAAAAGGGCAAAACACAGAGGAGGTGGCTGCATCCCATCTGGCTTCCAGGGTGTTCTCTCTGCTGGGATGGAGGTAGGGAGCCTGAGTGCCGGTGACATCCCTGGAGGAGGAGATTTGCCTGCCCTGAGGAAGAAGCTCAGTGTGGTGCATTGCTGGCACTCTTCCAGAGGCATTGGGTATCCCCTTGGCTCTCCTTTTCCTCCTGGTTATCCTGATCATCAGAGTTGGGGGACATTTCCCAGTGTGTTGGGGCAGTTGCTGGGACACAGCTGTGCTGCTCCAGGATCAGATCTCCAGGTGCTAACAGCTCACTAGGCTGCATGAAAATACTGGAAAACCAAATCCTGAACATTTTTGGGGACAGAAATCTGTTTCCAAGTCCATTTGTGGTTTTTGGGTGCAAGAGGAGGGCTGACTACTTTGGAATTGAATTTATCTTGTTTTCTGAAGGGAAGGGACTTTGCTTAGGTAGAAGGCAGTGCTCAAAACTACAAAATCTTATTGAATACCAAAGCCTATTTTTTTTTTTTTAATGGGAAAAGGATATATCTCAAAGAATAAAGGGTTTTTTTTTTTCCCCAGAGCCTCTCTGAAAGTGGCTGGGGGAAAAAGCAAGATGGAAGTCTTAAAACTCCTTGCATATTATTGTGCTCCACAGGATGTGCACGAGTTAACATCACAACTGTGAGGACCACATATCTCCTTCTGAACTTCAAATTTCATGACCTCAATGCATATCCTTAATGACCAAAAGCATCCTTCTGAATTTTAAGAAAACATGAATCCAGCTGAGTGCTCATCAGTTAATTGGAATATGAGAAGAGAAAATAATTTCCCTGTCCAGTGGGTGGTAGGCAACCAAAGGCCATGGGGCTCTTTGTGGACACAGTTTAGTGGCAGGCTTGGCAGTACTATGGGAATGGTTGTGTTCAAGGGCCTCCAGAGGGCTTTTCCAACCTTAGTGATTCCCTGATTCTGTGGTTCTACTGCCATCCTGTGTCACTTGGTGCAGGCCTTGTACCAAGCACAGCCATTCTGCTGCTCCTTATCTTCAAGGACCGGTCCAGAGGTTTCATTCAACACAAAGAGCTCTCAGTTTCTCCCTGTCGCACCAGCCCCTAGCAAGAAACTTCTCATAGTTCTGGGCAAGAGAGTGGGATTATGGTAAGAGGACAGCTCTTCCCATTCCCTGGGAGTGCATGTCCCAGTGTAATAAAATGAAAACATAACCATCATAGTATGCTTTTCTCTGTGTTTGCTTTGGCCACGCTGAGATTTCAGTCCCTAAAATTCCTGCTGTCTCCCACAGTGGCTGGGTATGCCCAGCCTCAGTAACTGTCCCATGAGCTTCCCCTCCATCTTGGCCCCTGTGGCTGGAAGCAGAGACCCACAGGCTTTAGCTGGAACCACCAAGAGCAGCACAGCAGCTTGGAGCAGCCTTCCCTCTGGGAGCCACCCGGCTAATGAGCTGTGACATGGGCAGGTCACCCTGTCTGCAGTAAACCCTGAGCAGGCCGTTGCCAGAGGCAGTTCCAGACTTTGGGGTTTGCGGATAACCTTGTCAGCAGGCTGGTTGTTCTGCCTGTCTGGGCTTTGTCTGTCCCTACATACGGTGACGCTGACAGCAGCAATGCCAGACATTTCCCTGTGAGGCATGCAGGGGCGATGGATGTGCCTCACCACCCTCGCAGCAAGGAGTCTCTTCCTAATACCTGATCCAAACCTGCCCTCTGTCACTTGGGAGAGCTGCTTGGATTTCATGGGAATGAGGAGTTTTGGTGTGTTTGAACAGAAAAAAAACCACATTTCTGGGGGTGGCAGGTGCATTGTGTCCCTGTCTTTGCCTTATCTCAGATGATCTCTAAGATCTGCTCCAACCCTAACCATTCCATGACTCTGAGGTCCCTTCAGTAGGGAAAATTCTGATTTGCAGCCAAGACTTAGCTCTCTGTTTGGAAGATGTGTATATTATACACAAGATTGGCAGGGATAGCCAACAATTTCCTTTAAAAAACACAAGCAGAGAAGAAAACTGGTTTCAAATGCAGTGAATGTTCATTTCAGTGTTTGCCGATTCCAGGAAAAAAAATGCTGGCATTTTTGTTGAAATAGCGATTTAAAATGTACTTTGTATTGCAAAGGTTTGGACTTCTACAAAGAATTAGGTATTTACTTGACATCTTCTAAATCCTGTGTCCTAAACATGGTATTTTCCCCAAGCTACACTTGAAGTCCTTTATGGGGTTTTAATCCTCTGTTTCTGCAGAAGTGTTTTTTTTTTCTCCCACCTCGTGTAAGGTCCCAGAGCTCTTCCTGTGATTCCCTTGTGCTGTTTCCTGGAGTTCACTTTGTACTCAATGTGTTTGAAATCCCCAAGAATGTCTTGTTCCACTTTAGCACTTAGAAGTGCATGGGATGCCCATGGTGTCCCCACCCCACATAACCTCACAAACTCCAATATGTGCAGGGGTCTAAGAGTGGCAGGATACTGATTGTTTTTTTCCCTGTGAGCTTTTGCCTTGAGAGAGAGTTCCCTCAGCCCCAAGACCTGCCATTTCCCTGGGAGTGCAGTGAGATCTCCAGGGTTATATGCCACACGTGTGGCTTGGCTGAAAATCTCACCAAAGACATCACCTTGGTGTGGGGGGTTGTTAATTGATTTGAGAGTACCTACCCCTCTTTTTGGAAATAGCCTGATTCTCCCTGATGTTGCTCTGTAAGAGTCTCTACAAAGGCTCTTCCGATGCTTCCCAGAGCAACACCAGAGGAAGAACAGAGGGTGAAGGAAAGCTTAGTAGGTACTCAAAAAACTCACCGCCACCCACATTCCCTTGGCTGAGCTAGAGCTTGGCATTCCCACCATGTGGATCAGTCACTGGAGATCCAGGGCTGAGCTTCAGGAGCTGGGGCTGAGTAGAGATCCCAGTAGAGGGGCTGGTCAGGGCCACCAAGGTTTATTAGTGCCCTCAGGGCCCTGACACAGATGAGGAGAGACTCCTTGACAGCAGTTTTGGGATTAGCAGCTCCCTGACTGGAAACTTTTGGTGAGGAGGGAGAATTGTGAGGTGAGATGAGGTATGAGCTGATCATTTCCACAGGGAACGAGGAACCAGCAAGTTTGGATGTTCAACCGAAGTCACTTCACTGGAGAAGTTACTTCTGCTTTTCTAAAAGTACACCCTTGAAAATCTTTCCAAGTTGGGCAGCCAAGAGCAAAGCCACTCAGAGCCACCAGTTGCTTTGGAAAGTTGGCACCATAGTGGAAAATGCTGCAGACACCTGGCAAGTCACACTGGGCAGTAAAAAGATGCTCCCTGGAGCTGCTGTTTGTGCATGGTCCTATGTGCTTGTGTGGGTTTCCTCAGTTATTCTTGCATTGCCCTTATGACTGTTGCTATTAATTACTGAAAAAAGGAAGGGCCTGCTTACATCAGGACAGAGAGGTGAAGGAGAGCTCCAAGCTGCACAAAGCCCTTCACCCTTCTCTTGAAGGCAGACTGTAAAGACTAGGTGGCCTTTCCCAAGCCTCTGTGTCTTCTTTTTGTCTGTAGCTGAGGAGAACCTTAAAAAGTGAATATAAGAAACAACAGCACACAGCCCTCTTGGAAAGAAGAGAATGATGTGCACCATTCATGGTGTCTCCCTCTGATTTGATGTGACAGCAGAGCACTCTAAGCACTGTCTCAGGAAACCAAGTGTAGGCAAAATATCTGCTTCCATCTTCCCTAGCCCATCCCCTCCAGCTACAGCTGAGATACGCCTGCAATTCGCCAACTGTGTCACGTCTTGCAGAAGGGTCTGTTCTCAAAAGTGTTGAAGACAGCTTCAAATGAACTTCAGTAATGGCTCAAAAAGTGAAAACTCAGCTCTTCTGCCTGCTCATTTCAGGCTGGCAACTCAAGAGAAAGCCATTGTGGCCAACTCTGCTGAAGCCTTTTGCCAAAGCAAAGACAATTGTGCCCACAGCCTTCCCTGGTTTGGCACCTGGCTGCTGCGGACGCCTCAGTGCGCAGGTGCCGACGTTGGGGCTGCTGCTGTTCCTGTGCACACTCTGCTGCTGTTTCTATGGGCTCCAGAGCCGCTTGGGCAGCAGCCACTGGGCAGCCCTGCTGGAGGAGACATCGCCGCCCTCCCCATGGTGGCAGCAGCTCTGCGGGCCCCGAGCTCTGTGTCAGGGGGGCCTCGGTCACAGCAGCGTGGCCTGGGCAGCCGCGAGGGCCCGGCCTGGCCGCCAGCCCTGCCTCTGCCCACTGCCCCTTGTCGCAGGCACCCAGTGGCCGTGGCCTGGCAGCACCCCCTGCCCTCCATGTCCCCAGACAGCCCAGCCTGGGCACACCTCGGGCTGTCCCCACCCTCCTGCAGGGCTACTGTCCCAGCCCCGAGGCCTTCTGCTGCAGGCCTGGCAGACATTCTGGGGAAGCGCCAGATGAGCCGGGTGTCAGGAACCAGGCGGTTGCCCCCGCGGGGGCTGCTTATG